TATATATATATATATATATATAATTGACTGTTAAAAGCATTCTATGAATTTATTCTTGTTCGCAAATGTAATTGCGAATTTTTCAGCATTGTGAATGCAAAATGCGCCTTTTGCGTGTTTAACAAGATTAGCGTGTAGTTTGTACATATACATGTATGCACCTTTGTTAAAACGCATGTACACTCGTGCATATCTGTGAGAAAATAAATCTACCTTTGTACCATGAACCGCTGTATTATTTCAGTCATTTGTCTATTAAATTCTTAAAATATTACATATATAATATAACATCAGAAAATATATATAATTCAAGAACATATATCTATTTATATTTGTGTTATGTTTGTAATAAAAACTTGATAAGAATTCAATATTCTACTTTAAATTTTTATTAAACGGATGACTGTTAAACAAATTTTTATATCTTAATTAATTTTTAAAAGTATAGAATAGAAATATACATATATATAAACATTGCATTTATGTGCGTGCGTGTGTGTGTGTGTTATATATGTATATGTATATATATATATAATTTTACAATGAACAATTTCTCACATTGCGAATGTTTTTGATTATTTTTGAATTTAAAAATACTGCTTGTAAAATGGCGGGAAAATATAAACTTGTTTTTTCTATTTTCTGACACAAATAACATGATTTTACAAAAATTAAATTTGCGAATGTATATAATAAACATTATATTTATAACACTGTATACGGTTTTCTTTAATAATATATTTCTATCTTAATACCAGTAGTCGCTGTACTCTCTACACCCTACTGACTACACCAAATTCTTTCCTCAAAATAAATATGGCGGACGAGGTTGTACTTGCAGATCGATTGAGGTTATTATTTCTTGCTACAATAGCAATTATCGGTCATAGCACTTTATCAAATGTCTTATCAAGATGTGCAAAGTATAACGTGACGATGAGCGAACGCGTGTTCGCGAGATATGACTTTAATATGCCAGGATTATGAGAACATTTGAGTGGACTCGAGCACAGAAACGAAAATGGCGAAAATACAATGGTCTTTGACGAAGACTCCAAGTATTCTTCGGTAAATTCATAAATATTTATATTTGTTGGATTTAATATTTACCAGACATCTATTAATTTTTATTTTCTATCACATCAAATTTATTTCATTCCTACTTTTACTATTGTTTATGTTAGTTGCATTAAAAATTATTGAATTTCAATCCCCCCATTTATTGATCTTTTATACCATAAATTTATATGAACTTAATAAGTATGACGATCAAATTCGACTTGTTTTAAGGAATAGTTTAAAACAGAAATGGTGGCGACTTCAAATTTCTATTAAATCTTTGTTCTACAATGACTTTTTGAGTTGGAGTTACATTTGTGATATACTTATGGAACCCATGTTCTGGTTTGTCGAGAACTTCACTTCTTTTTTGGGTCCGGTAAGATTTTTTATATACTTGTTCTTGTATTGAATTACAAAATCTCATTAGTTTTTATTTAGCATTTAAGATTGTTGTGTTTGTTATGCCTAATAAACTTTATGTAATTAATTCAGTTGAGTTAAAAAAAATCTATACGAGAATTTTGATATTTTAAAAACTAATTTTTGTGATGATAAACTATCAAATTTTAAAAGATCCGATTTACATTAACTGAAATATATTTTTAAAGATTGTCTCATTAGAATTAATTATTATGTTACGCTAATATTAAAGTATTTTTGTTGCAATTGGTGAATATATTTTATTTATATTCTACAATAAATGAGTAATACTTGGACATATAGCTATGTTTATTACGTGAAGCTTAGAGCATATACTAATGGAGCAAGCATTGCCTATGTTTTATATAGTGAACTGGCGAGCTGATAAGTAAGACAAAGAAGGAGATATTTGGCAATAATTTCTCTCTCTCTCTCTCTCTCTCTCTCTCTCTCTTTCTCTCTCCTTCAATTTGTAATTGGCTCATCAGGTTTCATTTCTGTTCGGACAGCTGATGACAGCAGTGAAATGTGATCCCTGCTTATCCCTACGATGTCATAAACTCTTACAAAATGCCAGCCTTTTGTTTAATTACGTGTAAAGCGACAGACGATAATAAATTATATCGGGATATATCATTTCACAGGTAAATTAACGAAAAATATAAATAAATATTTACTTTAATGTTAATAACAAAACCTAACCTCTATTCGTTACGAACACTCTTGACAGAGAAAACACCACAACCAAATATTCTCCTCTTTTTGTCTTACTTGATTGCATCCCTATTCAACACAGTTCGCTCCACTAGTGTATGCTGTAAGATATGAAATTTCATAAAATGTTCCATGATACTTTGTTCTACTTATATGTATAATGCAAACTTCAAGCCACAATATATTTACTAAGTGCTGCAGTCCATAGGTGTTTGTAGCAATGGTGAGCCTGCTGACCATCAGTATTGTATACATTGCCTACTATGTAGGTCTACCCTGGTGGTGGGAACGGAGTCCCATAATGACGATAATCTTATTGCTAGTTGGAAACTGGCTGCTGGTTAATGTCTGCTTTCATTATTATATGGGTGTGACTGTGCCAGCAGGAAATCCACCTCAGGGAGGCCTTATACCAGAGGCTGTAAGCATCTGTAAGAAATGCATCAAACCAAAGCCACCCAGAACACATCATTGTTCTGTTTGCAACAAGTGTATCCTCAAAATGGATCATCATTGTCGTATCCTTATATATTTTATTAATTAATTTTATACATATAGCCAATTTTCATCAATTAATTATTCACCATAAATTAATCGTGTATATATTGTCAATGAAAATTTATATAATCATTTTTTGCAACATCCTGTAGTAAGTCTTCCTTAATCAATACACAGCATGGTTAAACAATTGCGTTGGCCACTATAATCATCGGCATTTCTTCCTATACATGGTTTACACCGTAGTTGGCGTTATGTTCATTATGATATTCGGCGTGCAACTCGCCTATGAGGAATTCTTCCCTGACCAGGAACCGGAATTAGATGGCCATCCAGTACGCCTTAATAATTCGGAAATAATTCCAATGGTACATTAGTTAATTGCACATAAATATATTTTATTAACTATCACTTTAATTAAAATCTTAAATATATACTTGATTGATACAGACGGAATCATTAGATCATTTAAGTAAGGAGGAGCTAGCAGAAATAGCAAGACAGGCGGCAGAAACTGAGATCAAAGAATGGCAAAAAAGATTGATAATTTTTGCGGGTCTAATCTGTATAGCCACATGTGCAGCATTGGGTGCTCTAGCCTGGTGGCATGCTCGTCTCATCACCCGAGGAGAAACGAGCATCGAGGCACACATCAACAGCGCGGAATCTAAAAAGTATCGTGCTCAGAATAAGTTCTATCAAAATCCTTATGACTTCGGGTCGAGGGAAAATTGGAGATTGTTCTTAGGAACAAAAAGCAGGTAGAACTTTTATAAATACATATTTAAGTAGCGATAATACCGATTAAAATATAATCAATAATATAAATCATCAATGAAAGACTAGCTAAACGAATGAGATGCAATGCATATTTATAAAATATATCACTTTTACAGAATTTGCCAGAAAAATAAATTTAACTAAAAATATTAAACTTTGCACAAAAGTTCTTACTGAACCTCACATGTTATTTAATTTTATATGGTAATTACAGGATTGGGTAGTGCTAAGTTAAAAAAAATAAAAGTTAAGTTAAAAAGTTAAAAAGTTAATTAATTTTAACTTAGTTTTACATTTTAGACTCTTAACTTTTTAACTTTATTTAGTTACATTTTATCTCTCTCTCTCTCTCTCTCTCTCTCTCTCTCTCTCTCTCTCTCTCTCTCTCTGTAACTATTAATTTTTTATTTAATTCTCTGAAGTTAAGTCTCGGAGACATAATATGCGGCAATAGCGATAATTTAAAATGGTAAAAATTGTAAAAGTGAGCAAATTGACCAATGAAATTATAAATATTTTAGTGAATTTGCTCATTTTTATAATTTTCACCTCATTTTAAATTACAGAATTGACGCTCAGATTTCAATCTGTCAGAAACTGTTTCGATCTAGTTTTTAATAGGTTGAAATCTATTATTCCTTATTGCTATCACTACTCCCTCATATTGTGTCTGAAGCTTTAGTTATATCACAGGCCATTTATAATTGAATCTTATATACTAAACAGTATATATAAACAAAAATAATGTAAATAAAATATAGAGTATTTTCTAAATAAAGTATATATTTATTATTTCCGTTATTTGTAAGACTGAAATCCTAGAAACATGAATTCAAAAAATAAAAAAAAAATTTAACTTTTAACTTTTTAATTAACTCTTAATTCAATTAGTTAACTCTTGGTTCCATTAATTAAATTAACTTGTATCTTAACTAAGTTAAATTTTCAAGATTGTTAACTTAACTTAGTTAAAAAAAAAGTTAACTTATCCAACCCTGGGTAATTATAACATAATTCGAGATCCTTATGTTCTTTCAATTTTAATGACTATGATTTTGATTTAAAGAAAATTGGAAATTAAGCTTATTATAACAGCTACTTGAATTGTTGATACTTTGTTCAATATTATTTTTGTATTTGTATAGTCTCATTGTCCAAAAATTTGTCTAATATTATTTTTATAATGTATCTCATTAATTGTTACAGAAGTTGGTGGCATATCTTATTCCCATCAATCCATGGTCCTTATGGTGATGGCCTTACATGGCGAACTATTCACGATAGTAAAATCTCTTGATTTTTAACAGTTTAGAAGATCAACATCAATGCTGCATTCTAAATCCATATCTTGTGATTTCTCTATTCTTACTTTCCAATATTCTAGTCAGAATTGCAGACTGGTCAATTGTATTCATAATTTCTTTTGCTAAAAGCAATAATTAAAGCAAGTAGACTTTTTTGAAATTGCGAAATTATTTTTACATGGTAAAGGTATATTACGTTACAAAACAATAAGTAGAAACATTTGCGAATGTTATAATATTTTATCTTTAATAATTTGAATTGTTTGAAAACTAATTGATAACTATTTATGTAAGACTTAATTTAACCAAATACAATATAATTTAATAAAATATGTTTTTTATACCTTTCGTAAAAGTCGAATAAATTGTGATTATTGTCCTTGCGGCCAGACTATACCTTCGATCCACGAAATATAATGGGACACTCTAGTATAAACACCGGGAATATCGATCATTGCGCAGGCTTTACCAAAACTAGTGATACCAATCAGTTGGAAGACGCATTTATTCTCAGAAACTATTTGGAGAGGACCACCGGAATCTCCTTGGCAAGTGTCCCTTGTCCAGTTGCCACTAAGATCGCCAGCACAAATCATACTTGGTGTGATACCGTACGGAACTTCTTCTGTGGAACTGTTATGCCGTATTGTACACAATAGATTATCTATCACATTCAGTTCAGCCTTTTGTAATCGATCGCTCACCTCTCCGCCTGAAGTACATAATTTAATATGAATCAGTACTCTTACCTTATAAAAATTTTTGATCTTTTTTTATAAAGGACAACATTTATTAGGAATGTCCTGCTATATGTAAGTTCTTAATAAATATAAAGCATTTGAACATTTAGATTTTCTAAAACATTTAGCTTTATGATTTTTTTCTTATGATTTTAGGATTTCATAGCAAGTACGAAAAGAACTACTGAGCTACTTACTGTATTTGGTAACACCCCAGCCGCTCACCCAAACCTTGCTAGGCATGGTATTAAATAATTGATAAAGACACGCGGGTCGTATAGACTTACTAAACGTAACAACAGTCATAAGCTGTACCAGAGCTATATCCGCATACATCGCAGGTGGTTTATAATCCGGATGAGTTTTTATATCTTTAATTACAGTTATAACGCCTTTCTGGTCTGATAAACTGTGGAAGCCAATCTTTGCGTCTGTTATACCGCCACTGCAATAAGATATAGTGTATAGAACTAGTTTTATTAATCAAATTCTTAAATAATTGTAAGATACCAATCACTTATGTAAGTTATATTTTAGATTGCAATTTCTAAAACATTTAAATTAGAAAATCAAGTAGACTTTTAAAATTTTATAATTTTTTCTTAAGATGTGTAGTATGTCGAAAAAAATTACTATAGTATTAAATAATCAAAACAAATGACAGTAGAGTATATTAGTATATTAGCTTAAACTGTAGTATTAGTCTTAAAAAATATTTTCAAATTTTGGGATTGTATTGGATTTATCGTTGTATTCAGTAAAATAGCTAGCAGGAAAATAAAAGATTATTTTTTTGTTAGAATTTTTGAGTTGTTTAAAGCGAGAGAAATTTTATATGTAAGATTTACTCTGTCCCATGAGTGCAATGAGCAGCGGAAATCACCCACGTATGTGAAATCAGCGTGCCGCCGCACATCAAAATAAATTCGTCAAAATTACGTTTGCCTAGTGCAACCATGTGAGGAAACTCGTCGACACGTGCTTCGGTACCACCAACCACCAAGTTATTATTTTCTTTCTCACAACTATTAGTCAATTTATGTATGGCCGATGATGAACCAGTCAGAGTCGACATCAAAGTTGTCTCCACAATTTCTCCCACATATTCTTCGCACTCTGAAATTTATTTTATATATATAATAATATTATGGTATACATTGAATATATAAAGATATGTTCAATGTGTATAGGGTAAGAAAATTCACATTCAAATACTTTACTCTTTACATTACAAACGTGTACAAATGTGATCTTATGCATTTACATTTTCGAACCTGTAAATTTTTTAGTTCTATATGTTCTTAAAATATATGATCATATTCTACTTACTAAGTTCTGATATCGGTTTTTCCGGACTGAGCTTAGAAGGTAACAGTTCCTTCCAGGATGGTACGTGTGAAGTTGGAGAATGAATTTTAGGAGGAGTAGGAAATATAAAATCATTATTCGGTGCTGGTGTATTAGATGTTGATGTAGGATAGGATGGTAGTGGTGCATAAGGTGTTTGCGAAACAGGACTTGGTGAACTAGAAGACTCTACCTTAACTTTTGGATCAATTATTTCTTTAGTAGAATTACGAAAATTTGTCAGGAAAGGATTCGCATTACTATTAGGAAACGGATTATAGTTATTATTGGGAAAAACTATATTAGATGCCTGTGTTGCAACAGCATTTGACAAGAGTGAGTTTTCAATTCTGTTACTTGATGGATACAAGAAAGGATTGTTTTGAATATTGGGAAGATTTAGGTTGGACGATTGGAGAAAAGGATTTGTCGCAATGCCGAAACTCAGTTGAACGTTCTTCTTCGAAATGCCATTATCTAAAAAATATATCTAAATGTGTATATGTGCATATAAATTAAATTAAAGTTATAGAGATAAATATCTGTATAAATGTGTGTGCGTATGCGTGCGTGCGTGCGTGCGTGTGTGTGTATGTGTGTGTGTGTGTGTGTGTGTGTGTGTACGCAGGATCCAATAAGTTTTGACGAAGCGCTTGAGTGTATATAGAACGAACTAAATCGAATCGAAAAGTCCTCTATCATTTTGCAATTTTCGCAATAGTTAAAGATATTAATTATTAAAAATCGCTGGTTTTCGATATTTGGAATATTAGTTTTCAATAATTTTTACTCAATACTATCAAGACTTTACAGAAAAACAGCAAGAGTCAAAAATTGTTTATTTTCTTCCCATAAAATTCTGAGAATTTTTCCAGAATTTTTTAATAGTGTATTAACGTATTTTCTCATGTTAGTAAAAATAGTTATCAATATATAAGAATGTGCAGTATTAAAATGTTGAAAAAACTCTGAAAAATTTTTAGAGCTCTAAGAGAAGAAAATAATTTTATCTCTTGCTGTTTTTCTGTAAAGTTGATAGTATTTGAGTAAAAAATTATTGAAGATTAATATTCGGGAATTATTCGACAACATTATTAAACTTCCGAATTCTTGCTAACAAAAGTTCCCACATAGAAACACTAGAAAAAAAAATCAAGCGTATAACGCTCCCGTTGAAATCGCGGCTAATTTGAGAGTTCACTAATTAATAATTTAATAATTATTAATAAATAATAATAAATACATTAATAATTAGTTAATAATTAGTTAATAATTTCTAGCGATAAATAACACTTGAAACTGTAATCATGAGTTTTTTCTACCGGTGGACCAAACGAAAACCACATTAAGGATTACGAAGATCACAACCAAGCCGAAATGAAAATTCATCACTAAAGAAAAGTGCGAGAGATCAATGCATGAAGATCGAGTATTCGACGTCACGTCATTTGACGACGGAAATAAGCTAACTATGATGATGGAATCTGCGTCTCTCTTTCTCATATTTCATCTCCCTCCTAGTTTTGCAAAGAATGAAATAAGATAATTGGTAAAAAAAATATAAAAAACGATAAGAAAGCGCATAGAATGCATAGAAGATGAAAGTGGGGAGTGATCTTAACAGTCTGGGGTTATCGAAGATATCGATTTTGCAGTTTTTTCAATCTAGTAAGTTTAGTTGGATTTGATCAAACATGTAATAATCATTAATTACACACGAATTGTAAAAGTTAAATCACAACAGAATTTTGTACATCTGTTAAATTGTGCAATTTAGAATGTGTAGCATAACAGTAACTTCGTAAATGTCAAGTATAATTAACAACGCAATAGCAAGGATAAATATGCATATTCGTCTTTGATCAATATTTGATTGATCAATTGGAAATCTCCGATTCTGACGTCAAAGCGGATGAACCAGTCGATGTATTCTACAAAAATTGATGAGATAAGATGTCGGTAAAACAGGATAAAGACAAATCAATCAGTATTACTCATCAATATACAGAAGTATAAGAAACGTGACACAAAAAATCTTACGCAGTAAAATGTAAACAGTATAAGTAAAATCAACATCTTGGATTTGCTTAATTGCATTATCATTTTATGTTTTCTACTATGATTAGCCGATTGGCTTACTGTTTACTTCTTACTGCTTTATATTTTTTTATACGTCTTAAGTTTATAATATTATAGAATAAAAATGAAAACGTACGTACATATATTGCCGCGAAGAAGTGGAAGAAGGAATAAAGTAAGGAGAAATTATTTAATAATAAATTGGAGACAATAACTAACATTTATATTAAATTAAACTATTTAATAGTAAATTATTATACAGAGTGTCATTAAATTATGGCATCACCCATCCTGAGCAGGTAGGCGAACTAAACTGAATTGAAAAGTCCTCTACCATTTTTTCCGCAATAGTTAACGAGATATTAATTACTAAAAATCGCTGATTGGTTTTCAATAATTTTTTACTCAAATACTATCAACTTTACAGAAAAATAGCAAGAGATAAAAATTGTTTATTTTCTCCTTAAAGTTCTGAGAATTTGTTCAGAATTTTTTAATACTGTATTTTTACATAGTAGTAAAATAAGAAAATGCAGTACTACAAAGTTGATAAAAAATTCTTAAAGTTCTATGAGAAGCAAATTAATGATTTTTATCTATTGCAATTTTTCTGTAAAGTTGATAGTATAATATTTAAGTAAGAAAAGTGAAACATTTGAGAGCGAAATATGTCTACATTTCTGAGACAGCTCTGATATAGCAAAATATTCGCTATTCTTGCACATAAAATCTTTTTGAAAGGTTGATGAAATGTACAGAAAGAGAATTCGCAATTTTTTTGAAATATTATCAAAATTGTTTCAGCTATTTCTACAAAAATGATAATTAATATATTCGATACTTAAATAATATTAAATTTATTATGTCGACATAATAAATGTAAATATTGTTTAAGTATCAATTAAACATATAATTACATATAATTTCTGAAGTACTCAAAATTCATTAATGCTCATTTCTACCAATCTAATTCTAAAGATTCTAAAGAAGAAAAAGACAAAGAGTAAATTGAATCGAGATTAAAGTTAATCTACGTTGATAAAAATGGGCATAAGAGTGATCTGATTACAGATTTATAAACTTAAAGTTTCTGTTCTTGTCATTATTCGTTGTAATGTTAAATCGAACTGACATGTATTAAAATTTTATCAAGGATCCAAGTGATATTTTATAACCATGACTATATTAAAACTGTGATAACAATTGAGTGCGTTTAGTATAACTATAACTTTATCTTTGGATTTTTTATTCAATTATAAAGTTAATATAATTATATAAATTTGTGATTATATAACATTGCTATGTAAATAGTATATTAAAAGAAATATTATTAATAATACTACATATCAATAAAAAAATTAATTTTTAATGTTATTATTCGCTGATTATTAATTTAGAACAATGACTAAATTTTTTTAAAAATACAGAACCCGCTCTTGCTTTATAATATTCTTGCACAAAATAATAAAAAGAAAGAAAAAATGAAGGTAAGAATAGATAATTCTCTCTCGTCAAGAATTGTTGAAATAATTTTGAATATTAAATTTTGTGTACAAATATGAGTAATTAACATTTAAGAATATTAATGATATGTAGCATTGTGACATACGACTCGTGATAGTTATTAATAACTTTTATTTTTTCTCTTGTAAATTTATTATGAGTTTCTTCTTATTTATTGAATTAAATATATTGTTAAATAGAATAAGATTGAATCGTTTATTTGAACGATAGTCGTATTTTTAGTAAAAGACTTGTATAAGAATTAAATAATTCTTTTATAACTCTCTCAACAAGAATAAATATAAAGTGTTTCATTGTTTATCTTCATTCAGAAGCGTTTGATTGATCAATTGAGAATCTTTGATTCTAACGTAATTGATTGAAGCAAATAAACCAATTAGTATTGTATATTCCACAAAAATTTCCAAGATACAGAAAAATATTGATAGAATAGAAAAAAAAACAAGTTAATCCAGTATCACTTATCAAGAGACAACAATATAAAAATTAACAAAAAAAATACAATAATAAAAATTTTTGACATTAAAATAAAATAACCAATAGATTAGAGTTAATGAGATGACGACGCGCGGTAATTTCAGTGTAAAGAGAACGATGGCATGATGCATACTCTCGCCTAGGATGCTGTTTGAGCCGAATAGGTGACAATGTTTCATTTTTACACAGTTCAATTTTACACAGAGATTATCATATAACACATTTTATTTAAAAGTGAGATTATCATATAACACATTTTATTGGACATTTTATCAATTTTAAAAGTTCCTAATTATATAGAAAATTGATCCCGATGAAATGAGTTAATTTCCAAATATGATGTAATTTACAATATGGCAAACAAAAAATAAGGCTGAATAATAGAAAATAAATAGACTGAAAAAAATACTGCAGCATTAATCTTGAAAAGTATTTTTTAATTTTGAGATTTTATCGTTACTGATTCATTACTTTCAATAAAATGGTTATATAATAAAAAATTTTTCATCAGAAATTTTTCATCAGTTTTTTCATCAGAATTCGTAAATACTTCAATGTAAAAGGAGTACTAAAATTTACTCTGTTCCATGAGTGCAATACGCAGCAGAAATCACTCAAGTATGTGAAATATATAATGTAACTATTAAATATATTAAATTTAATGGAATAATTTTTAATTATTAACACAGGCCCACAAAAAAAGTGCTAGGGAAGAGTGAAAAAATGATCCATTTTTCTTATTTTTGATCCATTTTTTCGCTCTAGATTGAAAATTTGCCCTGAACGATCCTATTTTTATGTCAGAATCGCATTCAGCGACTGAAAAAAACATAAGAATAGCTGAGTCTTCATCTTAGCATCTTTTTTTTTGTGGATCTGTTCAATTAACGAGCTCCTCAAAATTAAAATAAGTTCATAACGTAACGAAGGGCTTTGGAGATGCCATTTAAAATTATATAAATTAGTTATTTAATGCTCATTAGTGCTTACATAAACGAACGTTTCGGCTTAAGTTCGAACCATCCTCAGCATAACAATAAAAAAAAAACAGAATAATTGCATCTAATTATGTTGAATTATGTCATCATTATCTATTATTATTGTTTGTTGATTGTGGCAAGATGAATAACAAACGACAATAATAGATGATGATGACATAACCTATTAGATGCAATTATTCTGTTTTTTTATTGTTACGCTGAGGATGATTCGAACTTGAACAGAAACGTTCATTTGTGTAAGCACTGACTAATGAGCGTTAAATAATTAATTTATATCATTTTAAACTGTGCACCGTTTTCCACGCTACTCCAAAGTCCTTCCTTACTAAACTTAAATTTTTAATTATTATATAACAATCGAAATAATTTTCATGATTTTATAACAAATTTTTATCATCAATTATTGCTGTCACCTTCATCTTATTATAACTATATTTATTTTACCGATAAAATATAATTAAGATAATAATTTAATTATTGTTAAATAAAATTTAATAAAATAAAGAATAAAATTATAAAATAAATTTCTTATTTTAGAGATAATTTTGTATTGTGTTTTAATCAAAAGTAAATCAATTCCAGAAAGAAAACATGGACGATCTACGATGGCGGAAATTATTTATTTGAGATTAAAGCACAGGGAAGAATTAATTTTAATTGAATAGATAAATGTACATTTTTAACTTTCACTTATATCAATATTGTATTGTCTCATCAAATTATATTTTTCTGTCATTCTTATAATCTTACATTATTATTTTTATAGCTGTAATGCGTTATATTTCGTTTTCTGAACACCAACATATAATCACCGATGTTTTACTGAACAATTTTACTGAACATAACAAAGTTTACTAACAAGACAAAGATTTTTTAATTACTGATACCAACAGTTAGATGTCTTGACATTGCGAAGTATAATTTCATTTGCCATCGATTGTCCATAGTATAAGTTTTTACTTTTTTGACAAATTCCAACGTATTTTATGTATGTTACTATTCAATTTAATTAACAAGATGAAGATCCTTTTTAATTTATTGATACCAACAATTATTCAATGCATAGTATATTTTTAATCGATCGTTTACATTATGTTTTTTTACTGTTTAAACACATTTTGTAAACATTGATAATGATCCGATTGTGATTGAAACATTTGTTGTTGCTAGCCGGTATGGTATTAAATTTCATAATTAATTTATTCAGATATATATACTACTGTTTGCAATGTATGACTGATTTTAATATTTTTATATGAATTAAAATTTAAGTATCTATCAGATGACGTATCTTTTTGTACAATTTAAAAATAATATTGTCCTCGTCTTTAATTAATTTAGTATCTACAAAATCTGATTGTCTTTTTATATTTCTAATATAATCTGTAAACGTTTATATATCGAGTTAAAAACATATAACGTTTCATCTATATTATTCTTAGGAATTGATAGTGAAATATCATCAACGCATCCAAAAAAGAACGATATACTAAACGTCTTAAATTGAAATATTTCATCAATATATTACAATATTTCCGACTAAGTATTGTAATTTAAATATCAATATTTCATGATATTGTAGCAATATTTCCAATATAATATTAAAATTTCAATATTGCAGCAATATTGCTACAATTCTGATGATATTTCGCGCTATTAAAATATTGCAATGTTGCTGCAATATGCAATTTTGTGCTGTAGAAGTGATAACAAACAAAATTTATCTAATAAGAAATTATTTACAATTACTTATTCCTTTTTCATTCAAATTCAAAGTAAATATTTAAAATATAAAATCGCAATGTGATAAATGTGAATTAACAATTAATTTATATAAAATATAAATGTTTAACAAAATACTTTTATTTAACCGAAATGTATGTTTATATAGACCAAATATAATGCATAGAATAAGACGCGCAATGTAATTTATATTTTTGCATCAAATACATATATAACGTAATAAGGTGAAACAAAAAATTTCAAAAAGCTGGAGAATATTTACTTTAGAAAAAAACATTATAAAAAAAATTTTAGAATATACTTAACATGGACAATATACTGGTTCGCGTCTTCTTACAATTAATAAGAACAGGCAGATATATGTGCAGCTTACAAAGTATATTACGTTATGATATCAATCACATTATTAATAGGAATACATGCCAGATTAAAATTGTGCTATGTAAAGAAAAAAAAGGGGATTTTTATTCAATCTTTTTGCTAATAATATATGATTAAAATTGTATAAACGTGTTCGTTAAATCTCGTGGTAAAATAGATTCAAACTGTACAAACATCAATATTTATGTACATGCTCCATCAAAGAATCATATGTACATACCTCTGTAATTGACCTTTAATAAAGAGCGCAAACGCTTTTTCACGTTGCTTCTGTATCATCTCTGATTAGTCACTAATATTCTGTACAGAACGGTTATAATGGCAGAAGACGATCTAATCCCAGTTCGTAACTGGATGCGTGAACATTACACGAAATTGATAAGAACTAATAAAGCAACATGCAATTATTGTAATGTTGAAATCAAGATATGTGTTACACATTTAGTTGTTTTCCATAGGCACTTGGTAAACGTACATCCAGAAAAATTAACAGAAGAAGAGAAAAAAGAAGTTAAATTTTCATGGATTTGGGATCATTTTATTGCAAAAATAGATAAAGAGGCAATATGCAAACATTGCCAAATAATAATTAAATACGAAGATACAACTAGATTAAAACAGCATTTAAAAAAACATCACAAGTAAGTACACTCCATATACATATATTAGAAAAATAATAAACTCTGAGAAATGTGTTAAATTGACAGTAATAAAATCTATATTAGTTAAGTAAATATAACGCAGAGAAACGTAATCATATATTGAAAAATGTATTAACGTAACTTTCCATGCGACTTGTCAAATATGGTATAATTTATATTCGCTTTTATATTCGTACTATATGTACAAACGTATTCTGTAGTTTTATTGAGTACAAAATCCATTCAAGGAACTAAAATTTACTACCACCACGTATAAAAAGATCAACAATATTTGACCACTGTGGAATAGTGTATACCTAATTCAAAATAATATTTCTACTGCATTTTTTATCGTTTTTTAAATCATTCTTTATATTATATATTGTAGCATATTGGGTCCGAATTCATATATCATAATACATGACGAAAGCACTTCATATAGCGATGCAAACAAGGATATAACTTTAAGAAATGCAAATCAAGAAGATTTACCTAACTCATCAAACCTAGCTAACAATTTGAATGAATGTACAAAAGAAGCAAAAGCACTTAATGAGTAACTATAATCGCTTTGCGTTAATTACAATATATACATATATATATATATATATATATATATATATATAAATAGATCTTATGAATTAAATCTTAAATTTCCTACAAATATAATGTACTTACTACATGAAACATTTAATTATTGCTTCAACAATTACCTCTATAATATGTACAGCCAATCAGAAATTATTTTTTCAGGGAAGCAGAAGATAATGTAATTCCAGTTCGTCACTGGATACGTAGACATTACACAAAATTAACAACATCTTTATTACAATGCAATCTTTGTAATAAAACATTGATAATGTGTATTTATTGCTTAGATCTTTTACATAGACATTTGGTAGTGGCACATCCAGACAAATTAACAGCAAAAAATAAGAACGATGTTAAATTTTGTTGGATTTGGGATCATTTTACCGAAAAATGTTGTAAAGAGGCAATATGCAAACATTGCAAAGCAACAATTATCTATGGACATACAATTCATTTAAAAGAGCATTTAATAATACATCATAAGTAAGTACACTCCATAATATATTAGAAAAATAATAAATTCAGAGAAATATGTAAAATTGACAGTAATAAAATAATCTATATTAACTAAGCACGTAAATATAACATAGACAACGTAATCATACATAAAAAAATGTATTTAACGTGCTTTCCATGCGTCTTGTCAAATATAAAAACGCTTTTATACTTGTATATGTACAAACGTAATCTATAGTTTTATTGAGTACACAAAGTCTATTCAAGAACTCAAATTTACTATCACCACGCATAAAAAGAACCAGAAATATTTGACCATTAATAATTTTAATCGAAGAATAGATAGAAGTCAGATTTGTAAAATATTTAAATTTACTTGACTACAATCCTGATTGCTTTTAAATGTTCGAATAATGAGATTCTAAAAAATGATAATTCTTAATACTTCCATATAGTAGAGTAGTGTGCATAATTTGGAATAATATCTCTACAGTATTTTTTACCACTTTTTTAAAATCTTTATATAATTGTAGAATATCAGGTCCAAATTCTGATTGCGTAATAATTAGTGACAGCTCTTCAGATCGTGACATAGATGCAAACGATAAGATATAATTCTAAGAAAGTAAAACATCAAAAAGCTTCATCTAACTCAACAAATTTAAATAAGGATTTGCACAAATGTATGGAAAAAACAGGAGCATTTAACGAGTAATTATAATTGCTTTGCATTATCTACAATACATATAAATACATCTTTTGAATTTAACACGAAATTTTCTATACAAATATGTATATTCTATCTATTATATGAAACATTTTTTTATTGTTTCATCAATTACTTTTCTAATAAATAGACTTAGTATACAAACAGAAATTATTTTGTTCAGGGAAACAGCAGACAATTTGATCTCAATTAGTTACTGGATACGTGAACATTGCACACAATCAACAAAAAGTAATAAAGCAATATGCAATCAATGTAATAAAAAATTATGTATTAGCCACTAAATATTTTACATAAGCACTTAGAGGCACATCCAGATAAAGTAATAGAAGAAAAGAAGAAAGAAGTTAAATACATTGAGTTTAAAGCTATTTTATAGTGAAAAACGACACAGACAGCATGCAAAGAATGTAAAGCAACATTAATTATGTACATATGTACAATAGGTTTAAAAGGACATTTAAAACGAATTCTCACACACACATACACACACACACACACACACAAGTACGTATATTCTCCATGTATATCAAAGATTGATATAATGTTATCCGCGTGTGTATCATTTTTTTATTCTTACTAATTTTATTAAACATTGTTAACCCTGTGTTAAACAAGAACAAAATGGTACACGAGGGTACTCGGGTATTTCTAAACGTAGCCAACAAGAAAAATCGTTTGTTGTAAGGTTGATAATTATAATTTGGTGTGTAGTTTTTTAAATTATGAGTCTCACTGAAAAACTACGAAAATAAATATTCTAATTTTAACATATTCTTGTACTTAGTCTGCTGTAGTTTATTTAAATTTATAAATATGTAGAATATTATTTATAGTTCTACGTAATTTTACCGAGAAGTATATGGAAAACTGCGAAGTATAAAAATCTACAAATTTTGCAATTTTAGCACTATTCTAAGTTTTTGTAGCATTTTTCGAATTCAGAAAAGTTTCGTAGACTTTGGCAGTTATTTTTTAAGAACGCAAAATAGGAATAAATGCTTTTAACGATCTTAACTGAATCTATACTTGTATAATTCTATTTGAATTTGTATACTATGCAGTTCATTAAACTGCGTGCCGAAATGATTTTTCAGTCTTGAAACGCAAACTCTATTAAACTATCGCAATATCACGAGTTAATTTGACTAGCAATTTAACAATCAGATCTTTTTCACATGTTAGAGTGATCTCAATAATAACTGATGTGACATATTAACATCTATAAATAATTAATTCTTTTGTAAAAAATAATCTAAAAGATGATCGCAGGAAATTCAAGACATTCGACTCTTTGCGAGATATTTTTCACAATGAGAATTAATTACTTACAGATTTTATATATCACTTAGCATTATTTTAAAATCATTCTAAGCTTTCTTTTTCTGGGAAAAAGCATCAAATTGCTTAAATTACTAGTATAAATTAATTTAACTCGTGATATTACTACAGTTTAATAGTGTTTAATAGAGTTTGCGTTTCAAGACTAAAAAATCATTTTGGTGCGCAGTGTGAAGAACTACATATACATATATGTATATAAATTGACACAGAATTATAGCATAATACAAGGCACTTAAGGTCCAGCTAGGACCGTAAAAAATTCTATTGATTATATTTTCATGTACGGTCGAATGAGATTCAATATTTGATATTGTTTATTTTTTTAAGTTTTCCGTATACCTTTATTTCTTGTAGAATTCTGTTAAATTCTTTTTGCCGGGAAAATTCTTATAATGATGATATATTTAAATCCATAACAATTGTTAAAAGAAATAGCTGTCATATATATATGATTGTCGAGTACAGGTTATGTTAAATGCCAAATATTTCATCACTTTATCAAATTTTTGTCATTACTTGTATCTCAATATAGATTCACACTAAGCGCTTCAATTTCAGTGAATCATATTGTGAACAATCTTCCCGATGCAAATTCGGCAGAATATGTAAAATTATCTAATTCACATAACAAGATTAATTAAGTCATTATGTATAAAGCAAGTACATTTATTAACAATTGAATTTACTATTTCGAAACTGAATGAACATTGAACGAACATTGCTAACAATGTTCAAACTTTTCTGCAATCTCAAATACTGTAACATTACATAACATATTATATTACTTTGACCGTTTTCCTAACATTGCAGCATTGACGAATTTTTTATCGAATTTTTATTAATGCCACACTACAAATTATCAACTTTCAACTTTTTAATTTATCTTGTTTTGCTTCGTTATGATTTTTATAAAATATAACGATTTAAATATTGATCTTTTCCCATGTAATATCCCGTACAACACAGAAAAATTACAGAAATATTTCATTGCAAGATTGTAAAAATATTGCGAAATATTGCAATATTTTAGTAACATTGCAACAATATTACAACATAATATATATTCAATATTAGGTTTTGCGCACAGTGGAGTAATATTGCAGAAACATTGTAATACAGTAATATTGCAGACATTGACTATATTTCTTATGTCCGTTTCCATTAACTTTAATCTCGGTTCAACTCTCTTCGTCTTTTTCTACTCTTCAGAACTAGAAAAAGACGAAGATAAATTGAACCAAGATTAAAATTAATCTATGTTTATGGGCATTAATCGGGTAATAATATTTGTAGTTAAAAACCAGTCATTTCATTTTTCAGAGGAATATAGCTACGATTGATCAGTTTCATAACTAGATGTTATTAAACCCAATTAAGTGTGCCGTGTAAAGGTGATCATTAATTCCTATTTTTCCATTATGTTCAGATTCTTACTTTATTAGATTATACACAAATCGATATATACAAGTCTTAACACTCAAAGCGAGCTTTCTAACAGAGACACAAATCAATACAAGAGTCATTTATTTTTTACTGATTATTGAATAAGGATAGGATGACTCTTGTGTCAATTTTTGTCTTTTACTGTAAATATTTTTAAAATACTGCTGCAACATTGCTGAAATAATATTGCAAAAAGAAGTCTTCACAATGTCTCTTGCAACGTCTTGAATTGCAATATGCGACGATGAAATGTTGCAGCATTGTTGCTACAAGTTTCTGTGCTATACGGGACATGAAGAAGATGTTTTATTCTATCTTAAGGATTAGGCCACAGTAGCGCAAAAAAACAGTCTATCTTTGACAAGAATTTATGAATATATGAAATTCAAGAAAGAAAATTCAAGTGAACTTCGTTGCCCTTTTACAGTTTAAATATTGATATATAAATATATATATATTTTTTTTAATAAAAAGTGACGAAGATACGCATCCATTTGTAGAGGCCTTCCATTTTGATATTGTCACACGGGCGAAAGAGTTTCTCCCATAATTTTTAACCTATTAAGAAAAATCCAAAAATTTTTATAATCTAGTCATGTTTTTCTATAGAAGTAGGGAAATTTCTTTTTTTTTCCAAAAATGACGTACAAATGAAAAAATATTTTTTTTGGGGGGCAAAAAAATGATGAGAAAATTGTTTATAACAAAAAAGTTTACAATAAAATTAAAATTCCTTATATACTTCTATGTAAAATATCGTTTTAAAGCTGCAGTTAAAATTTCAATTGAATCGATAAAGATTTGATCGAGTTATCCTTTCGCCCGATTTGAAAAATACCGTTTCGAGAAAAACGCGTTTAAAGTTTCAATTAGTGTTTAAATATAGGAATTTTTTATTTACTTTAAGTCTGAGATGTCTGGACCATACAATTTCCCTTCTGAATTTAAGTTCTCCTCCTCTTCTTCCCTTCTGAACGATTTCAGAGATAATCGAATCTCTTTTGCAGCTGAAGTCAGCGATCGTTCCTCAGCTATTATTCGTCGCTTGTCAGCCTCCGTGCAGAAATTATCCCAATTGTGATGTCCAACACTTCCATAATCCTCATAATACTAGTTAAGCCATTGTTGTAGACACACACAGTAATATGTCGAGGATTTGTCCGCTAGACAGATTTCGAAGCTGAATTCCAAACAGTTGCGTTCAAATTTCGAAGACGAATTAAATGCTGTACACGAAATATGTTTTCTTGTGCCCTTTATGAGCACAGAAAACTACATTAAAATTTCTTTCAACTGATAATTAATTTCCCCTCTTTAGGGGGATCTTTATTCACAAAAATACAAGCATAATAGGGTCGGACGCGTCAAAGATTCTCAAGGCACTTTACGTGCGCTGAGAAGTGCCTCGGCAGAATCCTCTTAATGAGCTGTTACAAATTTTTCCTATCTATGAAACATTTTGTATCTTATTTCTAAGACCCTAAAGTATCATTTGAGCAAAAAAAAAGATAGAATTTTCAAAAATTCTATTGTGGCCTAACCCCTTAATTCTGTATTATGTGGAAGTAAGTTCATTTGTATTTACATTTATTAATGTACTGTATAATCTGATCACATTAAATAAAATATAATATACAATTGACAAAATACGATATGACTGTTTTCAAATTAATATACCTTAAAAAAATAAAATTATATTGAATCAAAAACAAAATAAATTTTAAAGCTGAAAACACTCAAAATAATCATTTTTACAGTTTGATGTAAATATAACTGTATGATATAAAAAAGGTTCAATCACAGAAAAATAAATACATTAAAATAACTTCGTTTGTATTCATTACTAAATATCATGAATTAAATATTAATTTCTATAATTACAAATTGCAAAAAATAAGGTATACAGAGATATAAATGAAAAAAAGAAACGAAGTTTGTTACAATTACTGAGAAAGATAATTCTAACTGTAACTTCATTATATAAATAATAAGTTACTGCAAATAAGATGAGATGTCCGGTCCTTTTCGAACTTGTACTCTTTTTTTTTAAGAACGTTTAGCCAGGTTTCAAACGTGTCTGGAATATATTCTTTTTGGTACATACTTCAAAAGAGAGCAAAGGAAGGGGAAGCTATTAAGTCCATCGCACATGAAATACATACAGGATGCGCTATGTATCCATTTAACGTTCTTAACGTTTGTATGCACCATTTTATCCTTGATTTTTTAATAAACAGAATATAAATGCCTTATTATACAAAAAATTTGGAATAAATTAGAACTACATATAAATAAATTTCATATTTAAATATCTACATCATTTATATGTATAAATAAATTTTATTTAAGCATATTCTCGATTTAATAATAATATAATATTTAATATAATACTAAATGAACAATAAATAATACACACAATAAATAAATAATAACAAATATAAATA